GGCCCGCCCCCGTGCCCGTCGTCAGCCGAGCGCGTCCCGGGCGACATTCGCCCCGCAGGGTCCGACCCGGCGGCTTCCGCAGCTGCCGGGACGTTGGCGGGAGGTGTCGCCGGGATGCGCCGGGGACCGAGCATCTTCGCCTTCCGAACGCGGCGGGGCTTTTTGTTTGCTTGTTTTCTTTTTAGTTTTTTATTTTTAAAGGTGTGGGGTACCATTCAGGACTAGGTATACACGTGGTCATCGTACAGGTAAAGTTTGGGCCTCCCTTTGGTCCCCACTGCGCCTGGTTTGAGATCAGGGACCCTTACTGATGTCACGTGCCCCCCCCCCCCCCCCCCCTGTCGGGACACGGCGGGCTTTTTTGTTTGTTTTCTCAGCAGCCGAGATCTTGGAGAGATCCGCGAAGACGCCTCAAGTAGCCTTTGGGAATGACAGTGTCATTTCGCCGCTGCCGATTTTGTCCTTGATTTTGTTCCCTGGCACTTTTGTCTGATGCGTCGCATCTTTTTTTTTCCCCTTCTAGTTCTCATCCCCTTCTTCGCTCTTCCATCTGCCAACAGGTTCTTCAGTCTTAATCTCTTTCTTTGTGAAAGTTGCCAACAAGTCAGTCGTCAGAGTGTCCCCTCCCCCTCCCCACTTCTTTTTTACTGTACTGATGTTTGCTAGATGTTGTTCGTGATTCAGATGGACCCTGGATGAAAATCAGCCCCGCCCCTGTCAGCTCTGCGAGATGGGACGAGCCGGGCGCGGGGGCTCAAGCTTGTCATCCCAGCACTTTGGGAGGCCGAGGCGAGAGGATTGCCTGAGCCCAGGGATTCGAGACCAGCCCGGGCAACTGGGCGAGACAATAAATCAAAAACCTAGCCGGGCGTGGCAGGGCACGTCTGACCTGTAGGTCCGGCTACTTGGAAGGCTGAGGCGGAAGGATCGTCTGAGCCCAGCGGGTCGACACTGGCGTGGCCGTGAGCATGCCACTGCACTCCAGCCTGGGCGACAGAATGAGACTCCGACTCAAAAACAAAAAACTAAACTAAAAACTAACAGATGTTAGCTGCTGTTGTCTTACAAGTTTCCTCCCTTTCTAGGCCTTCATTTCTTTTTGTTTCAGATAGAGGTAATACCTAACTGGTGAGGATTATTTGAAGTGATTGTGAAGAACACATAGTTGATCTGACCCATAGTAAGCACTCAGTAGCAGCTAGTTACAGTGGTCTTCTCTTCTGGGGGTATACATTCCAAGATACCTGAAACCATGGATAGCACCAAACCCTATATATACTGTACATGCATACATACCTGTGATAAAGCTTATAAATTAGGCACAGTAAGAAATTAATAACCTAATAAAATAGAACAGCTGTAACAATATGCTTTAATAAAAGTTATGTGAATATGGTATTTACCTCTCTCTCTCTCAGAATATTGTACTGTACTCACCTATTTTCCCACTAGATCGACCTCAGATACCTGAAAGCAGAAAGCAAAAACTTGGGATAAGAGTGACTGTATCATCTTATTATTCCATACCACCTTGAACTTCTGTCCATTCTGCAAAAAGCCTTTTGTCAAGTATTTACAATTCTTGTAGCCGTTTTTATCTCTTCTTTGGTTTGTTAGAGGTTCTCTTAAGGTATATAAACATAGCGGAAGACCTACTTTTATTTTCTATTGGATTAGAATGTTGATCCTCTTTTCGCACAGGTTTCTCTGGTCGTTTCTTTTTTCCTTGTGTGGTTGCCATTTCACCTGTGTGCACAACTAGATTCTGTCTTTCACTTTAAGGAATATGTGAATTTTGTATGTTATGTTTGGAGGATGGTAAAACTTTTATGTTTACTTCTAGAAAAAATGTAGAAGACTTCACTGGACCTAGAGAAAGAAGTGATCTGGGATTCATTACATTTGATATAACTGCTGATATCCTTTAAGAAAAGACCGCATTGCTTTTCTGTAGTTTTATAATGAGAAGCATGTTAGTGATTTGGGGGATGTGAGAATGGCTATCTCACTGAGTCAGCCTGGCCTTGGGAATTCCTGTGCTATGTTTTTATCAGTAAAATAGTGTTAATACCTCCTCATTCGCACTTCGAGAAAATTTCCCCCCTCCCTGCCCCCACAAAAAATTTTATAATTCGTAAGTGAACATACTTAAATTCTTCACGGAAACATTATTGGAAGCTCCATGAGAGGATTTGAATCTGTGCTTTGGAAGGAAAAAAAAGTTAAGACCATTGTTATAGTTTAAAGACCATATTAAAATGGTTATTGAAACACCATATTAGCGTTTGCCATTATAGTTCTTTTTATAAATAAGGTCTTGCATACAAGTCAGTCTTAACAAGAGTTAACTTTAGTGGGGATGATTTAAATATTTTCTCTTTATCTTGAATTTCCATCTTTTGACAACCCTGATCATTCTGACCAGGTTAATCTTCCTTAGGGTCTTAGGTTAATATCTTGGCAATGTTCTCTCATTTCTAGCCTGATCTCACCTGCCTTTTTAAGACCCCCATTTAAAAACGGTGATAGAGATTTAATCAGACTGAACTTGTTTAAAGCAACTGTATAAACAGCTGAAGCAGATTGTATACTTGAGTTTACCTGATGTGCCTCTCTACTACCATGGAGTTACTTTTAGCTTAATTTTTTACAAACTAATTAATTAAAGAATTAGTTCTGTATGCACCTTTTTGGGAAATAGAGTGCACCATCAGAAGAATTTTATGCTAAACTTTATACATTTAAGTCTTCATTTAAAGAAAATCAACTCGAAGGAGTTTAGATCTAGTGTTGAAGTAGTAATTTTAGTGAAGTTAAAGTATAATTCTAGCGAATTATAATAATGTTCTGGTATCTCAGCTGCTGTATATATTACCAACCTCATTATTTGTAGTTTTTTTCCAGATTTTCTTAATGCGCCTACTAATTCTATTTAAAATTGTACCTGTTCTTGTGAAGAGCTAAACAAGTGATTCTTAGTGATTCCACATACTTAAAAGTGGAATGTAACAAGTGTGTCACTACCAGTACGTAAGCTCATATACTAAAATGACTTAACAATTTATATATAATACTTAAGAATCCACATATTAGCTCATTTCTTAGTAGTAGCACTGTTCATTCTGGTGATGTCCCCGCCCCCTTTGGGAAGCTTAATGGAGCTAAGTTGGTGTCATTTGCATCTTACCAAATTTTGATCTGTACTTGTATGTGACCAAAAGCAACATGTAGAATTTATTAAACTTAGTTAATTATTTGAGCCTCGTTCACATTTGCATATTGTTAAATTTAAGTAGGGTGATTGGTTATACTTTAGAGTTCTAGTGGAATTGTATGTGCTTGAAATATTAAGTCCTCTTTCTTTTAGAATTAGGTGATGTTACAGAAAACTGATTTTTGAATTTATTTTCTTACTAACTAAAGTCTCTTGGCTAGTAATGCTTGGATGAACCAGGAAGGATGCTAGTTATCTCAAACTGATTTTTTTTTTGACTTTGGAATGGGCTGGATTTTGCAATGTATTTGTTTTTGGTATATTTTTATTAAATTAATGGTTCAGTATGTTTTTAAGCCACCTCTCCTGTTTTTCTATTTTGGTATTACTGTTGTTATGAATAATAACCTAAGAATAATTAAGGTCTGTTTAAAAGTATGCTGCTTTATGATTTATATATTCCTTAAATTTATTTACATCTAGAGAATATATTTGATTGGAATGTTAAACAGTTGTTTCTTTACTTATCAGCAGAGTATTCAACAAAAAATAATGTAAGTATATATATATTTAGAAATAATTGAACAGTTGTTTAAAGCCTTATTCTTTATGACAGAATATACATTTTATATATTCAAAATACCTGATCAGAGTTATCTCGTAAAAAATCATGACTTGTGGAGAGGCGACTCTGTTGAGAAAGTTTTATTGGTAGTCTCTCTGGTTTTTTTCTGCCTGTTCTGTTGCTTTTTGTATTGGGGTCTCTATGGGGTGCATGCATAGTAATCCATAGCTATGTACGGCAAACAGATAAGAGCTTCTATTAATATATTTCTCAATTTTAAAATAAAAGAGAAGTTAAGCTTTACTAATACATGCTATGTGAATTGACATTAATAATCATGTTCAGCCCTGAAGTCAGATGGTCACATGCAATCTTCTTGAGGAAGAGGAAGAATTCTGTAGGTCAAGAAGTTGACATTGCTACCTAATACTTATTCATTTACTCACTTTTCAGCATTTTATAAAATACTGCAGTATATGCAATATACAAGTGGATTAAATAATTAAATAGTTCTAAATAATCCTCACAAAATGGAAAAATAACTTAAGATTTCTGCAAAGAAATCAGAGATTGAAGATTATGCTAATGGTTCGAGAATATGTAAACACTAGGAAAATGGCAGAGCCAAAACTTCTTCTGAGCTGCTGAGTCGTATGAAAGGATTAAAAAACGCAAAGACAGCCTAAGTAGATCTAAGAAGTTGGCTGAGGAAATCAGCATTGGTCAAGAGTATAGTTGAAATGAACGTTTATATTCATGAATCCTGATGGTGTTAATTAATAATAGTGCCTGTGTCTTATATACATAATTTATAAGGTTGCGTATTTTGGGGATTTGTGCTCAAAAATTCATGGAAACCACCGCCAAGGGTCAGGTCATAAAGGCTGTTGGTGAGCTGTGAGTTGCCTGGGACATGGGAAGGTGGTACTGTATTCAGCTGGGTTCTCTTTAAGTTATTGTCTCCATGGCTACAGTTAAAAAGCTGCATGGCAACATATTTGAAACCTCTGATTAAAATTCTCATGTACATATGTAACCAAAAACTATAAAGATTATTGAAACATTTTTAATCTTCTGAGATTATTTTAAAATTCATCTTGGTACCAAGTTTTTTTTTGTTTTTTGTTTTTTTTTTAAATGTATATTTTAAATATATGGTGTGAGCTGCTTTGGTAGTCTTATTAAGCCATACAACTACAATTAATATCTCTGCCTATTGAGAATAATTTTCCTTTGTTTTGGAGTTGTATGAGATTCATTAATCTCAGTACTTTAGTCTTTTTAATCACAAATTATAGTTTATAATAAGTTTTATAATTAAAAGCTATTAACCTATTAGATTAAACCTATTAGTTTATGGTTGAAAGCTTTTAGTCTGGTTCTGTTTACAGGCAGGGTAGGGGTTGAAATATTTACATAGAGTATTGCTCAAAAAGGAATCTTGGGTTCTATGTTAGCATTGATACTGAAGGTATACAGTGATGGATTTAAGATACAGAAGTGAAATCTGTAGAATTAAAATGTGCTGATACATTGTTTTATCTTAGCCTTCCTGATTGTCATTAACGTAGCCTGGGGTAATTTGTAGCTACAGATGTGTCTACATTCTGTATTTCATTTTCAAGGGACGACACAGTCAGTTTTGTCTATTTAATGGTTTGTTTAGTCAACCGGAAATTTTAGCAGTTCAATTGATTATACATTTATTTTGAACATATATTTTATGCCAGATATTTTGTTAGGCAACTAGGAATATTGAGATCAATAAGCTTAGATCCTAGTCCTTCAGAATCAACAAAATGTTAAAAGAAACTAACAGAAAAGGCTGTTCTTGAAGATAAGAGTAACAACTTTAAATACATATACAAACCCTAACAAATTGAAATAAATGCCACCTTCTTTATGATGGATATATCTAAATTATTGCATTGGTGAAAAAGTTATTTTTCTTCAGCATAACTTGGAATCTGTTATCCCATTTTAATGTTTCTGTTTAATGTTAGAAACAGGCTTAAAGGTGTAGGTTTGAATCCTCTTTTAGCAATAACTGCTCCACATTTCTTTTTAGTTAATGTTGTCACCACACACTGAGTAATTGACCTCACAAGCTAGTGGGTGATAGCTTAGTAAGAACAAACTCCTTGGGATTTAGTAGCAGTCACAAATGTGTTTTCTTTCCATTTCATGCACCTAATTTTCTAAATGGAACTTGTTTGTAATATGTTGAAATGTGTTGAAGTCGTGGCTTAAAAGAATTGCTTCCCCTCTAGAATTTTGCCATGATAAACAGTGATATAACTCAAAGGGAAAAGGGATCATTAAAAGGCTTCATTCTTCAGTGATTCCATGATAACACAAAATCTTGGCGATATACAAATTTTCACGGCATAAGTAAGTAGCAGTGACCTGTATTAACTGTGATGGAGCAGTGATTAGCTCTCTCTGTCTTCCCGGTACCATCCAGGATCCATGCTGAGCTGCAGCTTCTCAGAAATTGTATAAGAAAAAGGGAATTTAAAGACTTCTGTTCCTTCAAGGGCCTCACTTTTTGGAGTATATTTAGATCTAAAGCCTTGGTAGTGAGCTGTGAGGGCCCTAAACAATACAGTTGAATTAACCAAGGGAATTAATTTCTTCAGGAGATTGTCATTCTCTCCAAGAAAAGCATGCCCCCTTATATCTATCTTGCCGTCATTTTTTAATGCTTTAAGATTTTAACAAGTTCCTCAATGTTGGATTAATTAACATGTCAAATTTCTCTTACTAATACTTTTAATTTGAAGTGATGATGCTACTTCTAATGGGCTGTCTAATTTTAATTTTGATATAGGCTCTGAACCAAGTTGTCCTATGGGACAAGATTGTTCTGAGGGGTGATAACCCGAAGCTGCTGCTGAAAGATATGAAAACAAAATATTTTTTCTTTGATGATGGAAATGGTCTCAAGTGAGCAATTCTTTGTCATTTGTTACATTGAATAAGATGTGAAAGGGAGAGAAAAATGTCATGTAGTTTTATTTTTTAAATATATATTTATATATTAGAGGCCAAAAGGAGGAAAATTGGGTGAGAAGTATTTATGCAAATCTGAAGCGGAAGATTGGGTAAAAACACAAATTGGGATCTAAGATAAACACTCAGTTCTCCTGCAGCACATGAAATGTAGTGGTCAAATTAAGAAAGGCTGGCAGCCTCTGCTCTGAGTGTGTAAGGGCTGTGGGCTGGCCCAGATGTGGTAGGGCTATGAGTGTCAAAATGCTCCTTTCTGAACTTGAGTTAGGGAAACCTTAGTGAGGACACAGTGTATTGGGTCTAGGAGCTGATAATAGCTAAGAGAACTAGTAGTGATTTTTCAAGTTAGGTTCTCTAACCCTCAGTTTATGCTTGTACAAAATGAAGGAATCAGAATGATTGGTTTGTTTTTAGGTTTTATGCTTTATGTGTAAACATGGGAAAGGATTTTAGAACTACTTTGACCATACCAAACCTCTATTTGCAGATGAGAATTACAGACCATGAGAGATTTGGGTTAGTTCATGGTTTGCCCATCTAAGTGATGCCAATTAGGTTTCAAATCATTGTCTTCGGATCCCTAGCTCAAGTCTCTTTTTAAATTCTCCGTGTTTTACTCATTTAAGCTTTTTAGCTAATAGTTCTGTTAACTGCACCTGTGCGTGAGTTTCGATTGGTAGTATAGGACACCTGCAAATGTAATGCTGGTATTTCCAGCATTGTGCTTGGATTTCAAGTGACAGGGAAAGATAGTTCTTTTTGCAGGTTAGACTTTCTATTATGGATAGATGGTTACAAATAAAATATTTAATGTCTCAGTACTTGAATTTAAAAAGTTTTTTTGAACTACAAGAGTTTTTGCTGACTTCTGTTTATTATTATTTCTTTTCATAGGGGAAACAGGAATGTCACTTTGACCCTGTCTTGGAACGTTGTACCAAATGCTGGAATTCTACCTCTTGTGACAGGATCAGGACACGTATCTGTCCCATTTCCAGATACATATGAAATAACGAAGAGTTATTAAATTATTCTGAATTTGAAACAACATATTTTTATACTTAATGAATTGTATCTCATTTATCTCTTCTCTTGCATCTTCATTTATTTTTGGTTGTTACCTTTTTTTGGTATAAAAACTAACATCTAAAGGCATATTTGAAGGGAAAGGTTACTGGGCTACTTAAACTTAACTTTAAAAACAAAAACAAGGCTGCCATAGTGGAGTATTATAAGAATAAGAACTACACAAAAAGGACTTGTAAAAAAAATGTTGACATATTCTCTGTATTTCCATTATTCTTATGGAATATAAAGCAAGCATGAAGGGTAGTTATAACTTTCAGGTGCCTGTAGAGTCATAAGAACTCTATTTTATGCCTTGCATTCATGCAAGTTCACATTGGATGTGATTTAAAAGTAGACTTTCTCTTTTATCTCTTTTAGGGTATGTTTGATTATTGAAAAAAATTAATGTGGTCATTTATTAGAAGCCTGGTTTACAAAAATGCCAAAAGTGATGGAATTCTATTCCATTTGTCCTAGGAATGCCCATAATGCTTGTTTTTCTTACAGGTGACTAGCAACTTTCTCCAATTAAAGACTAAATACCTCTTTATATGCTGTAAATCATTCTGACTCATCTTAAAGTCTCTTAATTCAACCAAATGTGTGTCTTTCAGTGCTTTCTCTAAAAACATTTTTTTATATCTTTATATTTTTTTTAGCATTGCCATTGAAAGTTGAAAATGTTTGCATGGTTTACCCTCTGAGTTGAGTTTGTTCTAGTGAGCATGCCTAGTGCCACTAAGTGAATTATTTACTACTTTTTGTAGGTCCACATTTTGATAATTATTGGGGTAATAATAATATTTGTGGCGTGCTTTTCCATTTACAAAGCACTCTCGTATTTAATTGTATGCCATCCTCAATAATCTAATGAGGTAAGTAGTACAAGTGTTAGCTCTTTGCAGATGAAGAAACCGAAACCCAGAAGTTTACTGAATTTCTTCAAGATTAAATAACTAGCAAGAAGTAGAGTTAAGACTTGAACTCAGATATTCTGATTCTGCAAGCTTTTCCTTTCTCTTGCACCTCATATTGCAGATTAGTCAGTTTTCACTTATGACTGCCATGATATTTTTGCTACCCTGTATACCCTTGCTATCACTCCTAGAAGAGGTTTCTGATTCTGTGTGGAAGTGACTATTTTCAAGTTGCCAACTTTATATATTCTCTGCATTCATTCACTCATTTCACTTTTATTATAAAAACATAAGAAAATCTAAATATATGTAAAAATAATTTAGAGACAATACATAATGCATAATTGAACATAACCACATATTTAACATTACTTTTTCTTCTGCAATGGACAAGTAAACATTCTCAAAGGTAGCAACTGCAAGTCAATTACCCTTAAAGGCAAGACCAAACACTGTAGTAATGCTATCAGCAGTAACCAAAAAGGGCTAATATTTTTTAATAGCTTAAATTAATAACTATTGTTTATTATATTTACTTCATATGAAAGCTGTCACTAATTACATTAACAGCTATTTTATGTAGTTGTACCATTCATGTAAAAGTATTTGAGTATTAGTTTTTCAAACCAGCAGAAAAGTCAGAGGTGTCGTTCATGGATATTAGAGTAGGGTTGGCTCCCATCTGTATTTCATTAAACTTTTCAGGGTCTTGGTTTCTTTATCTGTAAAATGACAAAGTTGGAGTAGTTAACTTAAAATAGTGGTCCTCTGGTACCACACAAGTCTATAAAATTTGTTTTATCTGTTCAGCAAAGAGATTGACTGGAAAATCATGTTAGTCATGTGAAGACAGTAAAATGCTTGAAAGACTAACAATTCATATTGATCTGACCTCATTTCTGTTAGATTTTACACTCAGAAAATTTAACTTCATTTGATTTGTACAAATACTAGACATGAAAAGTTAAAATCTGCGGATGTCAAAGGTTGAAAATTGGGTTCATTCTCATGAAGGAAGGCACCACAATAAATGCATCTGCAGTCTTACCAGCCCTGGTACCAGTTTACCAGTTGGTTATGCCTCTACGATGAGTGGATGCGTTTGTCTTGGTAGAGATGTTGCCATTTACTTGAGTTACAGTTTACTTGACAAGCCCACTTTGTTTGGAGTTTGGTGAGGAAGAGAGGTAGAAAGGCCCAACTAGCACAATGTAGGTGAATTTTTAATTTTTACTTACAGGTAAACTGCTCAGGATGAGAATACTCCAACACGGGAATTAGGAACCACTGTCTCAGGAACTCATTTTTGGGTGTGCAGTTTTATTCACTATAATTCTACATTTAAAATATTTTAAAATATTGACTTGTGTTCATTTTGATAACCATAGTATCCAGTGTTTTAAAGAAATCTCACGAGTCCCTACAAAGACATAGTCTTCAGACTAAAAACTAAGTATGATTAGAAATGTCTGAACCCGCAAATAATTCTGAGCAAAGAGTAATTATAAGACACTTAATTATGGTTAGAAATGAATTAATTTCAAAATGTGTTTATATACCCTTTTTTTGACAGTTTAACCTAGACAAACATCTCTGTCAGTGTATTTTATTCCCCTAGTTAATTACATTTGGTTTCTAGATGCTGGAAGGAAAATACTTTTTAAAACTTAAGAAATTGCTAATGGTGTAATAGAAAAGTGGGTTAGTTTGAATTTCCTTTATATTATTTTACAGTTCTTTGGTGGGTCTGGTCAACCAGTAAATAGCTGGGCTCTAAGGTGATAATGAGCGTTTTTACCGAAGCTTTGGATCTGGGTTGTAGGTCAGTGGAGGTGTTATTTTATAATACTTTGTATTGATGTGAAATGAATTTATGAGGAAAAAACCATAAGCTGTGAACTTTGGTAGTATATGTATATCCATTTCAAAGCTTATCTTGCTTTTAGCAGAGAGCCTGTGTACGTTACATGTGACTGCCAGTGATTTCAAGAGATCTGTTTCAAAAAGTTGTTGCATGTTTTTTATGCAATTTGGGAAACTGTTTACTTCATAAATACACATTCATAAATAATTCATAAAAAATACTGAGTATATGAGGATTTTCTTAATTGCAATAAATATTCAGCATTTTTTCTAAGGAAAATGAATTTTGTTTACAAGTAAAAGTATGCATTTTAAACGACTTTCAGTTTTATGCTTTTTATGTGAAGCTGCTGAACTAAAAGTAAATGGAAGAAGCCAAGTCTAGTAAACTAAAGGTTCTTTTTTTCCCTTTTTTTGTTGGGGAAGTGTGGGGAGGTTACTTACACGGAAAGCATCATCTCCAGAGACTATGCTGTGTGCTAGACTGTAAGCTCTCTGAGGGCAGTCGGTCAGGTTTATCTTTGTCTCCCCAGCGCCTAGCATAGTGCCTTGCACATAACAGGCACCAATAAATACTGGTGATGAGTGAAGTCATTGTGTTTCTAGTGTGACCAAGCCACGTTTGTAGTAACACTCTCCTCTGCACATGTGCTTTTTCATTCTTGAGCTCCTGGTGCCTTTTCCTCTCAAGCTCAGTGGCCAGTCCAGATAAGGTAAAGCTGCTCTTGCTTCAGGTGCTGTGGCCGGTGCTGTTCCAGACGTTTGATCAGAAAGCCAAGTGACTAGACGATAGGAGATTAGTATGTAAATGGTTTTACTTTAACCCTTTGCACTTGGAGACACCTCGCAGGTCACCTCCCAGCAGCTGGACACACAAAACAGTGAAAAGTCGCTTAAATAGTATAGCACTGGAACCAATGATCTTATTGTAATGATTTTGGCCTATAATGGAGTTCTGGACATTGAGGGACTTATGTCAAAAAAATCAATTTTTATATCGTATTTTACTAACATGTAATAACATCAAACAGTCATCAACATGCATTGCGGGCTCATTGATTCATGTTGTATAATAGTAATTTGATGTCTTCCAACTGGTGTTTTTCTGTTTGAACAGACTGCAGTCTGGTTTTCTTCCTCCCACATCAATAATATGTAATTTATTATCCAGCCTGTGCACCACTGTGAAAGCACTTCATACATTCTGTGAAACACCAGCTGATTTTTTTAATGTGTATTCTCAGTATATATTCCATCTCTTTATTTGCTTTTTCATGCAATTTGAATGGAAAACTTAAAGGAAACATGCATTTTTGAAAAATGTGCACTGGCATAAGTTTGTCCTATATAATCACCAGCAACCTCTTTATGTCCCCTCAGAGGGGACATTCAAGTGCAAAGGATTAAAATAGCACGAGAAAACCCAAACATAGACCTGACTTAAATCTCAGGATGTATATTTTAAGTGTAGCTCAGGAAAAAATGCATTGACTTACAGAGTTGACTCCCATCTGAAGCCTCCACCAGCTTGGGCACACCGCTGGCTTAAAGGCCACCAGCTTAGGCACACCACTGGCTTAAAGGCCACCACACACTGGTTCATCAGACTGAACTTACTGAGTTGGAGAAATTCTACTCTTCCTCTGTCTTTATCAGAAGAAGTGGGAGTTTCTAAAAATATTTATTTACTAGTAAACTAAAACAGCCAAAACAATGGAAATACTCCCTCAAAACAATAGAAAACAGTTCACAGGGTACATTTTTGTCACCTAGCTTTATCAGGGATGATATAGGAGGTCAGCTAGATTTTGCTTTTTGTTTTCTCCCAACCTGAGGAACCCTCTGCCAGAGCCCTGTCTTTTGTCCTTAGACGTTCTCACACCTTTATCCTTTTTTCTCCCTCCAGGTGAAGTGCCCAGCAATAATTCTGGATTCAGTAGGCTTGCCTGGTTAATGAATTAGTCACAGCAGAAAAAAACCACATCTCTTCAGGGGTATATTTCCAGATCCAAATAAACCTCAGTCTCCAAGGAACTGGGAAGCATTCCCTTGCGTGTAGTTGACACACATTCCACCCGTGTAAGTGAGTTGGAAACAGGTATCTGGGGGCTGAACAGTAGAGCGGGACACTGAATTGTGTGTATTTGAGGTAAAAAGAGCCTCTGCACCTCTTCTGAAGGCTTTCCCCTCCCTGCCCCTCACCCTCACTCTCGCTTGTGAGGCGTGGGATGGCTGCCGTCCTCTTGGTAAAGGAGTGAGTACAAAGCCGGGAAGAAGTCTAATGGGTGTGAGTAGGGAGATGGAGGGTTCTGGGATGCACCAAAGCTCTAAAACAGTCACAAACTTAGAGGAAAGGGGACCCTCTTGGCCAAAAGTCTTCTCAGAGTTGTGTGGGCATCTCCCAGATTTATTGGGGAAGGTTGGGGCTCGTCCCACTGTGGCAGCTTTGAGAATCCCCATATGCTGATAACACTGCTTATGCAGAGACAGCCAAGGACACTTGTGGTCTAATTGGGAAGCATACTTTTTATTAGAAGTTTGCAAATGCTGTTTTATAAGAGACTGCTACCTGGTTGTTGCTCTCAGCTCAACCTTTGAGAGCCTATTAGATACTCTTAGGTAAAACAGCACAATGTGCTCTTAATAGGTAACACCACAATCTCAGTAGCTTAAGAAAGCAGAAGTTTATGCCTCACTCTTAAAGGAGTCCACGAGGGTATCCAGGCAGCCTTCCACATAGCATGAAGGACCCAGGTACCTTTCAGCGCACGACCACCCCAGGGTTGATGAGCCTTCACTTCCAGATTGCTGACTGCGTTTGGAGGAAAACAACGGAGAAGGCACACCTGCTTAATTAGCTTGGGCCAAAGTAACACACGCCAACTCACATTTCAGGGGTGAGGACAGATTGCACATCCCTGTGTAGATACAAGGGGCATCTGAGTAATGGGCAGTGAACCGCTCAGAGAAAGCCATGTGATGGGTGGGAAGCATGACTCCTGCACAGCTAGTCATTCCATTGCTTTCTGCTCATGCTCGCCAGCTGACACTGAACAGTCCCTTGCTATAATCCAGCAGGGAATGCCAGTTATTTGTCGTCATCATTTTATATATATATATATTTTTTTCTTTTCTGTGTCTTGTCTGTGTGAAGGATTTTCTGAAGGTGAGATATTAGATTTTAAGGGGTTTAAAGCATTTATCGGGCACGAGAATTACCTGATAGATCTAATCTCCATGGAGAAATTTTTGTTGTTGTTTTAATGATGTGCTGGTCTATGTCTTCTTCCCCTCCTCCATCGCTTTGCTGCTGTGTGTGTCTCTTAATGCAATTCAAGTACGCAAAAGGTCTTCCTTGGTGAATGCTGCTCAAAGTGTTTGTCCAACGTTCATCCAAAATTGTCTGTGGACTTGGAAGAGGCAACTGGTAGTAAATTCTGTTACGTGCAGGCAAGATTAAACATTTGCGGGCCCATCCCACAGCTTCAATATAAGAGCATAAACAAAATTGGTCTCATGGAAATCATGCCACTCACACACACACATACACACACACACCTCAAAACTGCTGAGATCCCCACAGCTTCAATATAAGAGCATAAACAAAATTGGTCTCACGAAAATCACGCCACACACAAACACACACACACACACACACACACCTCAGTTGCTGTTGACTTCCTTGCTTAGCCTCAAACCTGCCAAGCAGGTTTTTACCACAGGATCTTTGCACTGCTGTAAAAGGGAAGGTTGGGAAGGACCTCAGGCCTGGACACATGATCAGCCTGGTCAGAAGAGAACCCATGGGAGCAGAGCTGATTTCCGCCAGCAAGCTATCCCCACACACAGTTTCGTGAATCCTAGTCGAGGCCCCATCTATACCTAAGATGGGACATCTCCAAGTCTTGGGGAATTCATATTACCATCTTTTAATACATTTTCCCAAACTTTCCCATGATCATTTCTCCAAATGTGAGTTCTCTTTGCTTACATTTGGGTTTGCAAACTAGTTTTTGCCAGGCTGGTGACTATCCAGTGGTCTCATTTTGCTAATAATTGACATTTCCCTGATTACTAAAATGTTGAACTTCTGTTAGTGTTAATTGCTTATGTGGATTTCTTTCACAAAGTGTTCAAGTTTTGTTCATTTTCTATTTGTCTTATTGGTTTGTATGATTTATATCTTTATTCTCAGTTTGAGTCCTCTGGCTTACTCTTTCACTCTTTCCATGGTGCCCTTTGATAAATCAAGGTTCTTAATACAAATGTATCAGATTTTTCCTTTTATGGCTTAATGTGCTTTTAACTATTCTTCTCGCTTATGGGTATTATATAATAGAAAGGCTATCAGCTTTGAGGCCAAAAATATCCGGCTTTCGATTCTGGTACTGCCACTATTTTTTTTTTTTTAATATTTTTATTTTACTTTATTGTCAGGGTCTCACTGTCGCCTAGGCTGGAGTGCAGTGACACAATCGTGACTCACCACAGCCTCAACCTGGGCTTAGGTGATCTTCCCACCTCAGCCTCCTGAGTAACTGGGACTGCAGATACCTGCCACCATGCCAAGCGAATTTTTTTATTTTTTATTTTTTTTGTAGAGACAAGGTCTCACTATGTTGTCCAGGCTGGTCTTGAACTCCTTGGGCTCAAGCGATCCTCTCACCTCAGCCTCCCAAAGTGTTGAGATTACAGGCACAAGCCACTGCACCCGGTCTACGTACTGCCACTTTCTAGCTATGAGAACTTGGGTCAGTTATACTCAGTTTCACCATAGAGACTAACTTGCCCACGCATTATGTTTGATATTGAGTTGTGTGTGCTTGGCATTATTATGGGTGCTTCGCATATATTAAACTCACTCAGCATCTCACAACAAGCCTATGAGGTAGCACTGTTACCATTCCCACTTTAAAGAAGAGAAAGCTGAGAGAAAGAGAGGTGAGCGACTTGCCCCAGTGCCTGAACTCTCTCCAAACAGGCTGTGCTGCTTCCTCAGAAACATGAGAAGGATCATACCTTTCAGAGTTGCTGTGAGAAATACATCTGTGTGGGAAAGGGCCTCCTGCATTCTTGGCACTTGGCAGGTTTTTGTTATTTGTGTAAAACGTAAGGTGTGCAGAAGAGTCAAGGAAGCAGAACACACACCTGAAAGTCTCTTGGCAAAGGCATTGTTTTTTGTTTTTGTTTTCTTTCACGGGTAATTGTACAGCAATGTGTATAGTTGCTTCACCTGATACAAAACAATGAGTCCTTGCTCCACGGTCTTTAAGTTAATACAGGAACCAGATGTTCTCTTAACAACATACTTAGGTTTTTTTTGGTAAGAATGGAAATAAAAAAATCTGTTTCTTAGCTCATGTGGATTTAATGTATTTGTTTAATTTATTTGAGTCAGAGCCTCACTCTGTCTCCCAGGCTGCAGTGCAGTGACACGCTCACTTTCACTACAGCCCGGACCTGACCTGAGCTCAGGCAATCCTTCCACTTCAGCCTTCCAAGTAGCTGGAACTACAGGCGAGCACCATCATGACCGCTAATTTTTTTTATTTATCGTAAAACAAGATCTCGCCAAATTGCCTAGGTT